TCTCTCTTATTCTATTGTACTCAATTTAGTATTTTATATTGTCATCCTAGTCAGCACAAAAAATAAATAAATAAATAAAAAATCGTTGTCCTCAACTATTAAGTAATTTGTCTTGTTAGGTGTTTACAGGAGATTGGCAAGTTGTCAATCTGACCCACTGCCATAATAACCTACTGACTGTAGAGAAAATTTGTGGGAAAAGTTTTTAATTCAGATCTTCCTTTGATTGCTCCTAATGTACAAGTAATTTACAACTTTGTTTAATATCCTGAAATTTTCAACAACCATTACTGAATAATTTTTGTATGATAATGTAGAGAAGATTAAATGGGAATTTTTCTATCTTTGATAATTAAAAACATAATAAAATTCCAGTGTCTTTTTTTAGATTAAATGGGAATTTTTCTATCTTTGATAATTAAAAAAATAATAAAATTCCAGTGTCTTATTTAACACCGAGCTATTAAATACCTTCTTAACTAAATGCTGTACAAATTATTGATGATTCATAGTATCATATATGGTACAGGGAGATTATTGTTTTTTACTGTACTGTACAATACTTGTTTTCCAATTTTGTTTTTCTTTGTTACAGGGGTTTGAAGATTACAGGGTAGTACAGAACTGAAAAATGGCAACAAGGTTGAATTTGGAGGAAAGAAGAAAGGTTGTGACCTGGATGAGGTGTGTCAGTGTCACAGTCATACAAAATGCACTTCATAGACACAGTACTTCAAAATCTGATGCACCATACAGGAGTTAAAAAAAAATTATTCACCCTGTATATCACTGACATACTATGAGCAATTTCTTTTTATAACTAATATCATTAATAGTGTTATTATCCATTATACTCTGATATGGAGGTACACTATACTGTAATACAAGTTATACAAAACATACTTGAGGTCAACCTAAAAAATAATATGCATAGTAGTATGTCGAGTTACCACACACCTACACGTCCACAACATCAGGCTGAATATCCTCTGGCATATTATAGTAATGTTATCCCGATAAACATAACATAGCCATCATACAGAAGCTCTACGTGGGGGCTGTCCACATACATGTCTACCTTAAACAAAATTTGGCAAACATTTACGAATGCCTTAGATGTCCGAGTATCTTGTAATGGTGAGCCTGTATTAAACGAACTAGTGAGAGTAGCAAGTGATTCACTCATATATTCAAATTTATTCAATATGGATGTGCTGGAGAGGATATTAGTGAATGAATGTTACTCTATGTTCAGTGGTGAGGCTGTACACATACAGTATCTTTTCTAATGGATGTGAACTGAATACGAATATTAACTTGCACAAAAATTAATAATTACTTTTGTTGAATATAATTGTGTTGGGAGGTCATGTTTGCCTATAAACATACATGTGAAATAACACCACTTGCCTCTTGCTGAATCCAAACCCAGAGCTCTCAAGAGTGGTAGGTGAGGATGCTACCATCTGTACTGTGCCACAAATGGTTAAGACTCATGTGAATTTGACCTTAACACAAGACACTAGAAAGTTAACCTGGACTTCATCATTGTGTAAACTTAGTGTGTCAAACTATTTCAAGTGAAAGTGGGACCCACAAGCATGACTGCCCATTAGGGTCAGTGCGGATACAGCACACTGTATACTAAGCCTTCGGTACACAAGGAGGCAGCAGGGTCGGCACTGCACTCGATCACATTCATTTCTCCAAGGTGCAATCTAAGGTACCTATTTACAGCTGGGTGAACTGGGAGTGCACAGGAATCGATCCACCGACCCCTAGAACAGGAGGCGAGTGCTGTATCCACTTGACCAACACACTCCTTTGGGAACTATTAATCAGTCGCCTCCTGTTCCACGGTCAATGGATTGATTCCCGGGTGCCGAGTTTACAACTTGGGAACGTGAATGCAGTTGATTGCAGTACTGGCCATGCTGTCTCCTTGTGTACCAAAGGCTCAGTATACAGTACAGTGTGTTGTATCTACACAGTTCCTAATGGGCAGCCATGATTATGGGAACCATTTTCAATATAATTTCTAGCACAATTGTACTGAACAATAATATCAATATATATTGCATAACATTAATGTTTGGTGCTGATGTACTGAAGGAGATTAAAAATGAGGGTTATATTGTAATGTAGAGCATCTACATTTTGGTTAGCTGTAGCCTATAGATATGCAATAAGTACTGTACAGTCAAAGACAGTGTATGTATCAAGCTCTATGTTGTATTATTAATGCTTTATGCAAAACTGACCTTAAATATATATACAGTATGGTAAATTTATACAAGTAATTAATTTTTGTAAGTGAAAGTGTAATAATCAAATACTGTATATGGTATGATCTTGACAGCATATAGTTCATGTATAATAAGAGAGATCAAGAGATATTTACTGTACAGTATTCAGTAAAAAGTTTCATAACAGACCATGCGAACTTAACAAGTACTGTACTGTACTACTGTACTGTACTACTGTACTTGTATTGTACATAAACAGTGAAGGCATACAAACGAAGGCAAACAGCAAGTCAATTTATCTAAGCATCACCCAAGTATGTAAAGTAATATCGTATAGGTTCATTGTACGTATAGAGATTTCTGATGTTCCAGTACAGTATATCCAAAGTAATAATTTGTCTGGTAAAGTGACATACTATAATACAGAGTTAATTTGGTTGAAATATTATGACTAAAGAACCTCTTGTGTGCATTTTTTACACATTTTTTTTTATTAATTTTTTTCATTTCATCAATTAAACCCCACAATTATTTATATATGTATGTAAGCAAGTGTACCTGCACACACATATCGTTGGTGCACACAGTTATTAATGTTCTTTTAAGACATACCACACTAATTAACATATTATATAATCTAAAGAATAAAAATTTTGTTCCGAGCCTTTTCCCACCTAAAGGGAGGCAGCCAGAAAGGAGCAAACCACTCACACATTATTATTCCCTTCATTCATTATTATCCATTCATTGTTACTGCTGTAAGAGATGTAAAATATATACTGTATGAAGTAAAAAATATATATACAAGTACAGTACTATGAATTATATTGATTCTTGTACAAATAAAAAAAAGATTACTGTATTTTAAAAACAAATTTTTAAATAAAATACCAGATTAATAAATAATTATCACATTAAATAAAAAAAAAAATATGAATATTTTTTTGGCTGCACTTTCATCATATTAACACTAACTGAAAAGTGCACTGACAAAACAGCGAGATTAGATATTTAACTGAAGTCCAAATCTTTAGTTCACAGTACAGGTATACTGTATAACTAAACAGGTAAACTATTCTAAAAAAGGAAAATGTCCACAGCTATCATACATCACTACAAGTCACAACCATGCAGTCTGAAGCAGGTGAAAATATCAGACCACTGGAAAACATTGGGAACCACAATCTTCTTGAGATTCAAATTCCATAAATGCTTATAATAATATATTCTTCAATTACCCAGTCAGCTTATGCTTCTATATGAACCAACTAGATGTAAACGTATCCCCTTTGTATTAATGGGGTAATCAAGCTACCTCTGATTCACACATTAACAAAGTAATTTTATCAATCAACTCCTTATCTCTCATACTACTGAGTAATGTAAACAATCTATTTCTACGGGAGAGAATTAGAAATACAGATATTAAGCATCCATAGTCTAGGAAAACTGGCAGATTTATAAAATACTAAAATGTAATAATGAACTTGATGCTCATGGTCAGTAGGGTCTAATATTTTGACTGTACTGTACACCCTCCTCCCTACCCACACTCCTGGACTGCCCCCCCCCCTCCTGTACAATTAGAGTTTAATTGTTTAAGATTCAAAAATTTTATATTATATAACTATACAGTATCTGAAACCTCCAAAAGAATTACTTATTTACAATATTAACATAAAATTACCTTCTCATCCTGGACTGCAAATCTATAACTCAAATCACTGTATCTCATTATCTATTACCTGTTCTATAATTCGACAAAATAAAAAAGAAGAAAAAGAAAGGAACATGAAAAAAACTTCAACTGATGATGACCACCATCCCTACAGCTAACTTCAACTGATGATGACCATCATCCCAACAGCTAACTTCAACTGATGATGACCACCATCCCTACAGCTAACTTCAACTGATGATGACCACCATCCCAACAGCTAACTTCAACTGATGATGACCACCATCCCTACAGCAACTTCAACTGATGATGACCACCATCCTACAGCTAACTTCAACTGATGATGACCACCATCCCTACAGCTAACTTCAACTGATGATGACCACCATCCCTACAGCTAACTTCAACTGATGATGACCACCATGCTAACTTCAACTGATGATGACCACCATCCTACAGCTAACTTCAACTGATGATGACCACCATCCCTACAGCAAACTTCAACTGATGATGACCACCATTCCTACAGCTAACTTCAACTGATGATGACCACCATCCCAACAGCTAACTTCAACTGATGATGACCACCATCCCTACAGCTAACTTCAACTGGTGATAGATAACTCCCATTTAATGGTAAAAGATTGCATGTATCATATTTTAACTGGGTAACTGATAATATAATTATTTAATTTGGTTTTCTTTAATTTTTACAAAAGTTAAGAGGACAAACAGTCAGCATTTTCATTTCACTGCTTCAGGTGACAGAATTTATTAAGAGACGATCACTCTCATTAATGATTGAAGCCTCAATTGAGATGGTCTTCCAGAACCATTTTATATTAAGCTGCTAGAGACCAAGAGTTACTGTAAGATCATAAACCATACAACACTCGAGGCAAGAAATAATATAAGATTAAAGTCATAGAAATAAATGAACAAGCAGAACAAAATGCAAAGTGCTTTAAAACAGGAGAGAGATTTCGTTCACACAATTCTTCACAACCTAAGTACTAAACTCATTTGCCAAGATAGCCTCTCTCCCCCAAGGCTGGCGTTAGCGCAAAAAAGCATACCTGCTATTATGGAGGCCCACCACAACATACGTGAGATTATATATAACTTGGACGGGGTTATACGGAATTGTCCATGTACAGTTTAGCGTCTGCCAATTTTTGGAGATGCACGTGAAGTTCTCCACATCCTGCGGCATATCTGGAAAAACACGGAGTTGATTTCATCAGCATAAACAAAATGAGCACAAACTACTGTATATAACATCTTGTGTCTGTTTTAATTTCTTTTTACTTGGAATTGTAGACTAATGAAAAAGTGTGTGCAGGCTGACATACAGGTTATATATTACTTCAAACTCTTATGGTGAATTACTTTAAACAGGAAAATAAAATACTGCACAGGTATTGCTCCAGTTCTGTACACAGTAGTACTCTACCAGTATATATAAACATGATTCTTTTTCTTTTTAACAGGAAAAAATACAAAACACACAACGACATACCAGGTGCACAAACCCATGTGTAAATAACAACGCTTAACAGTAATACTAACATCCAACTTTGACTGTTCGTTCACATAAGAAAGAATCGTTCCTCAGACACTGCAGCTTGTATTCCACCGCTTCACTGTGACTAACGTTTATTCTTATAGCCGAATCGCTCACTTCCTGTAAAGAAAAGGTAGAGTTATCATGACTGTTGGCGAGATAAAGGATGCAGCACATAAAACAATTACGGATATGATTCATAGACTCCAACCAAAGTCAATGATCCCCCTTCCCCCAACCATTCCTCTACGGCCTCTTCCACTACAGGGTGTCTAATAAGTCATGCACCAGTAGGAAATATTGATGATCTTTTATTTGTGGGGTTTTTTTTAAGGTGAGGGAATGACCTTTTGCTCAACTCAGCTCAACTGGTGTGCCCTTTGTAATGCTGCGGGTGCCTCAACTTTCATACCCTTCCCGACTACACCCTGGCATTCCCTCCTCACCTTCCTTCCCCCTCTTCTCTCTAATTTTGTGGAGATCTCAATGCCCTGATTCCTCCTCCTGTAGGTTTCTGGCCCTCACCATCACATCATCCCTAACATTATCAAGGTCCTGTAGAGACACTCCTCCTTCTGGTCATAGTCCTCCCTTACTCTCACCAACTTGTCAAAGTAGTACAGTAATGTATTTTCCCTATGGTTTCATTTCCCTATAGTTCATGACTCCTAAGAAACTCTGTTCAAGGTTTCAAAATATCCAGTGGGATTATCCTTCATAGAAACCACATTACATAATCCAATAAAGTATATCCAAATACAATATGTGACTACAGCATCTTCATATTGTTCTCCCTTTGTCACTGCCTAAAAATACAGTATTAGAAGTTGCTTATGATACATGATACAGTAGATACAGAGACACAGTTCAATAGTGATAGAAATATATTAGGCGTTTACAAAACTTAAATGTATTACAAACTGAAAAAATAATGTGTCATCAATTAAATCAATTGGGCAAACTCATATGATCATCCCTCATAATAAAACAATTCCCTTTACCATTTGTACTACACTGTACATCATAGGAGTTCATAATAGTCAGTCAACGTTGAATGTCGTGTGTACAATATTTCCTACCTTCCAGAGTGCCCCTGGCTTTTCTCCCCTCCAAGTTTAGACTCGTGCATCACTTGTCCCAGTTGGTCACATTCATTCTCTCTACAAGCTCAAACCATCTCAGTCCACCTCTATATAAAACAGTGTCTCCTGCCTACCAGTGTCACATCGAACATCCATCTCATCATTCTCATTTCAGTTCACTCAAGCCTGCACATGTCACCCTCTATAACTGCCCATGTTTTACTGCCATACAACATCACACTTCTCATGACAGCCATATACAACCTTCCTTTAACATGGAGGTAAGGTCCTCTTGCCATGAATAACGACAACAACACTCTTAACCTCCTTCAGCCCCTTTTAGCTTTTGAACTCAAGCTTTTTTACATGAAAGATAATTAAAAATATTGATATCTACTAAGGTGTGACATATAAAATACTTACTACAGGTTGAATCTGGTATGACTTTTCAGGCGAATTTTCAACATGCTTAAAACGGACATCTTGTTTGTTTATATGTTGTGGGTTAAAGAGACAGACAGCTTCGTAGTATGAGTCAACTTCAATTACAATATCTCCCCTTGGCTCTATAGCTGAAATATCAAGAGAAATTATTACATTAAATGACTTATATATACAGTAGTATATATATAATCTGTCAATATGACATACATAAGGTAAACCTTCTTTATTTGGGTTATTGATAACAAAAGATGTAATATACCTGATACTCTACACAGATACCGTACTTCAATTGTTTTATATTGTTTGTTTTTTTTTTTTTTTTTTTTTTACAATTAACCACAGTCCACACATGTTGTACCACAGTTAGGAACAAATACACTAATACATGGACACAAATTTCCACCTCCTCACCTCTATCTCATCACTGTCTCATTTCCATTAAATACCAATAAGGATGGATTTGTATTGGAAAGAAAAAAATATACTGTACTGTATATAAAATTACTTTCCTTACAACACACCACCCCAGAATGCACTAAACATACATCAATAATTTATACAATGATTTACATTTCATCTCATAAAATACTAAACACACTGAAGTAAACCTCTTTTGTTTCATCCAACACTCTACAGTTGTACCAGGTATGCACAATGCACATTAAATTAATTTTTTTTGCCTCATCTAAATTAAATACTAAATAAACAAAGTCTAGGTTTTTGTGTCATTCTTTAACCCATTGAATGGTAGGGGTCTCTCAGCTGAATAAAACCATCTAGTATTAGCTAAATTAAAAATCCCGACTTTCAACAGTACCCCTTAAAAGGTTAATTGAGAAAGTATTAATAGATTAAACACACCGACTTGATGTCTGATGCTTCATTCAGAACAAACAGTAAACAGTGAAGGGTATGAGTAGTGAGAGGTCAGTGAGAGTTGTCAGCTCAGTATATGTACGTATGCTCACAAATACGTACTTTGTATGATGGTGCCATATGTCCTATCCTACGTATGTACACATGTCCATCACACACGCACACATGCTGGGCCTGTATACCGCCATTCACTCACAGATACTCTTCGCTTACTGCCCGTTCTTTACTTTGTTTTGGTAGTTTCACGCAGGAAGAGATCGACGTATTTTGTACTGGGACCGAGTATCTCATATCCCCAACTACAGGTATCATTATGAGCAAAATGGCAACTAGACACATTTCTTTCAATAAAATCTTCAAAAAAAGATAAAAACACCAACAACTTCTTAAACACCAACATCACCAAAGTTAACTGCACCTCAGCTACTGTACACCTTACCCTCCAGTTAAATCCTCTGAGAGTCGCCACCCTCTACCTCCAAGCAATAATTTCTCTCCTCCTCTGTAAGTGCTCCTAAGTCCAGTGTACAGGTGGACACAATAACTTAATGTAAGAACATTTTTCACTGTTTTAAGTTTATTTGACATTATTTCACCATTTTGTGATTATATGAGGCAATTCACGATAACAAAAAATTGGAGGGGGAGGGAGGAATGTTTTCAGGTGTATGGTACAATGGTTCTCAATTCATAGGTTTTCTAAGGTATATGTAAGAAGTCCAGTGTTTCACTGTTTTTTATTTGAGTGATTATATTGACATTGTTTTCACAATGGTTCATTCATGTATATAAGTGCTCCTAAGTCCAGTGTACACACAATAACTCACACTGTCATGTGATTATATGAGGCAATTCACGATAACAAAAAATTGGAGGGGGAGGGAGGAATGTTTTCAGGTGTATGGTACAATGGTTCTCAATTCATAGGTTTTCTAAGGTATATCTGTAAGTGCTCCTAAGTCCAGTGTACAGGTGGACACAATAACTTAATGTAAGAACATTTTTCACTGTTTTAAGTTTATTTGACATTATTTCACCATTTTGTGATTATATGAGGCAATTCACGATAACAAAAAATTGGAGGGGGAGGGAGGAATGTTTTCAGGTGTATGGTACAATGGTTCTCAATTCATAGGTTTTCTAAGGTATACTGTATTAATGTCCTCTTACCGTACAGGTTTTCAGAAATGCATCATGTACGTTAAGCTGACACTAACTATATACTTCTGCTTTAAGCAAGTGACAGAAAAAACACACCACCAAAAACATATATCACAGCACAGTGGTAATTTTCTACAAAAAGGTTTTTCTTATTCTTCTTTCAAGTTTTTTACTACAAAATGGAAAGCAGCTGAATTAAAGAGTAAATGCATATAGTTACACACACATACACACATTCCCAATTCATTCACGCTTGCTATTATAACAAATGCATTCTTCTCTGATACAATACAATACTCTTCTCAAACATTCACTTGGTTTATTCCTGATGCTTCACACAACGTAACACTTTTCACTTGAGAGTATATACAGTACAGTACATACATCTTTCTTTCCCCATTGAATCAGTCAATACCCCTTTGTCTGTTCACTCATGCACAAGACTAGTACATCCTTCACTGTGTCTCTTTCCTTCCCCTCTCCCTCCTACCATCCACCTCCTCAGATTTACACACACTTTTTACCAATCATTCATTACCTATTCATTCAGTATGTCCATAACACCTGAGCAGACACATTTATTTTTCATTCTCTGTCCAATATTCATTTCACTTTCAATTCTTATTCTCTGCATCCTATTCCCTGTACAAGCTTCTCTCAAACACATAATTTCTGTCACTTTTTATACGATAATTTTCTCTCAAGCTCAAGAGCCCATTTTCACATCCGAGTATGGCGTATAATAATATTGGGGCAAAAAAAAATGTGTATACAATTAAAGACAAAAGTCGTGTCGTGAAACTTGGTGTAAACATATGCCCAAGGGCTAAAACTTTTGGTGCGCTCTGCCTTGTGGTAGGGACCTCATAATGTTTCATGAATTATATTTAATCTTTGGACAAAACCGCGACACGGCTTTCATCTTTGATTGTATATCCCCAACCTTGACTATTTTTATCTCTCTTTCTCTATCTCTCCCCCTCCCCCCCTTCTCAATGCACCAATTACAGTACCTCCTTTTCCTCTGCTACTCTGTGACTCATTTCATCACTCTCTACTTTCTCCATTCAATCTCCATATAAACTGCCTTTTATTTCTCTCAGTCTCCCTTCTCTACTTTTTTCATTATCTAATAATTACCGTATTTTACAACATATCATACGGAAGGCCATATAAGACGCACCTCTCATTTCAGCAGGGAGTATTTAGGAGAAAAAAAAAACTTTTGTGTGTATTTTCCTCCTGTAGCCATAGTTTTCTTAATACGAGTACAGTATATACAGTTACGGTATACCAGTAAACGTGAGGAACAAATAACAATAATATCAATAAATAAGTACAACAAAAAATACTGTACAGTAATGCCAAACCAGTAAATAAAAAAGGCAAATGAAAGTTTACACTCCCTGCTTCACCACAACAGCGCAGACCAACATGGAAGCTACCTCCGCAGGTTCCCTAGCAATGCTCCCCGCCCCTACACTCTGCTCTCTCCTCCTGATCCCCAACTGAACCAGCTAACTTGTGTGCAAAGAAATGAACATTCGCTTTATGTGTTTGCCTTTATGACGATTATTTTTTTTTACTTTTGTTTCACATAATGTATGTAGGATGGTGTGTGCATGTAACTGAGTAAAAATAAATGAAGAAAGTTACATATACTGTATCTACCACAAAATACGAGTTGAAAATAACCGTAACACCTCACAGTTTGGCCAGCAACCTGGTGGTTACAGTGACGAGTTTAATTTGGCTACAATGCCACCAGCGATGTTAACAGACGCAAATGTGAAAAGAAAGTTATCTGTAAATCTTCATTTGTATCAGGTACTAGTAGATTTAAAAATAAATGTTACAGGTATGGCATTAGCTACTGCTCAGCTACCTCTGAAGAGCTGGATATCTGCCAGACATATGTGAATTGTCTCAGGTTATCATTATCAGTACAGTAGTTATAAATCCAGCTTTTATATTTACAATAATTATTTTTTAATTAATTAAAAATAATAACAATGTGCTTAAGTATTCAATAACATATTTTTAATTCTGGAGTTGGGTTAGGTAGAATTTAGCACACTGAAAACACCATCTGGGCAATTCATTAGGTTACAGGAGACAGCAACTTTACATATAGGATACAGGCCGACTCTTTGGCCATTTTTCAGACCAGAAAATGTATCTTATATGCCGTAAAATACAGTATTGACCTTCATTATGAACTCTCCCCTATTCCAAACTTGTTCAATTTCTACAGCAGTGAAGCCAGTTAACTCACCCCAGCCCTCCCTCTTGCACCACTCTATCTTTCTAAACCAACCTTGCACCCTCCTCCATCATCTACCTCTTCCATTTTCCTTGACAAAATCTCACAACACCTAACATCAACATACCAGCCCATCCTTGAGGCTCAATACCAAGGACCTAAATTTCCAGACGCTGATGAGATATTTGCTCGAGTCTTAAAAGCATGTAAGGAAGAGTCTCATCGGATACTGTGCTCTATAAATCACAGACATCAGGGACTATAGCAAGAGTTGTGGAGGACCACTATAGGAAGCAGATCACTAACCTCAATCTATCATAAATTCACTCAACATCATATCTGCGAAAAAAACTAAATGTAATAATTTTACATTCAAGTTGTAATCACCCTGGAAAGCACAAATGGATTAATGACTTTCAGCTTGGCTTTACTTAAGAGTGTTCCTGTCTAAGGCTAATTCATTCTCATTCTTCTCAGGCATTTTTGAAAGAGTAAAGAATAGTAAGAATCACTATGCCATTTACCTTCATTTAGAGTAAAGACTATGGCAGAATGTGACTGCAAAAGGATTAATAAAGGGAGAAAAGTAGCGGCACATGGCATACAGGGAGTAAAGTCTTTATTGTATTGCATTAAAACGTACTAGATGGACAGGTAACAACATAATACCTGAAGCGTAACAATGAACAGGGTGTAAACTCTACTGTTCACCACATACAGTAAGAACCCAATCAATTAATGAGAATTCCACATAACAACCTCAGTGTTGTAGGGAGTACTAAATCAATCAACAAACTTCACCTTTTATTCAATATAATGAACAAAATTTCAGGTGAAGGATTTCTCACATACCAGCCTGTACCCCCACCAAGGTACACTCAATTCAAAAGGTATCTTTACGAAAGGCTCCAATGAATTTAAAAATGAACACTGTGACTCCTGTTGTCTCGATAAGGTTGTCAAAATCCTTCATTCATTCATTGTGTCATATTGTCTCACACACACACAAAATCGTAGAGATACTTTTTGGAGAGTGTGAACACTAATTACCAGTTTTGATTTGTTTTATTTAATTTACACTTGATCCTCTATCATTTATTCACTTAAATGAGAAGAGGAATTTTAGACGGGAATTTTAGACGAGAATTTTAAACCTAAATTTTAATTAGATTTCCTACTCATCATATCTAAGATTAAAATTACAGCCAACTAAGATTAACAACGGGAGAAGGATAAGAGCACAGTACAGTGTTATCATCCAATTTAATGTAAGCTTGTGATTGTCCCATCCATGTTCACACTCATCACTGCTAGACTTTAAACTGCAACATTAAAAAACATCTGAAGAAAATTGTTTACTTGTGCTGTAACCTAAGCTGAACACAACTAAACTACCAACATCAGTACACATGATAAACGGTATTGTTCACAGACAAGAGGTAAAAGTTATCGTGAAAATATATATTCATTGTTAACTTAGTGTAACAAAAATATTAACCAAATATTACCAAAAACTAAGAAAACGATGAACATCCAAAAGAAACATAAGTTTACTGTAAAAAAATCTTGGAAGTAGGAAGTGAGAAGCAGACTGATGGTAATGGGTCTGTGATCATTAGTATTTTATCTACAGTATTAAATTAATGTAAACAATATCTTAAAAGTATGATACAGGAAATAATGGTGCTGATGGCATCTTACATAGCCATGCTTTATTAGTCAGGGAATGGGAGACAATCTAGTGCATTCGAGAGGGAGTGGGAGCTGGCCTAGTGTATTCGTGTGAGAGTGGAAGCCAGACTGGTGCATTCGTGAGTGGGAGACAGTCTAGTGTACAGTATTCGTGACGTAGCTGAACGTGGTCGAGCGTATTTATGAGTGGGAGCTCATCTGTGTCACTACTCCCTGAGGTAATAAGACACTACCCTGACAGCACCATATATCAAAAGCAGGAAATGTTTTGTATTCATAAACATTTCTCACAACACTGAACTGGAAATTTACTTTTGATATGCCAACTGTATTAACCTGATATAGCAGTATATTAACCTTGACTTTAGCATCATCAGTCCTGACATGAGAGTACAGAATTAACTCTGACAGGACACGACCATGACAAAGGTTTGCTACTTTGCTACGGTCATATGTCCTTTTCATCACTAAGAAAATTTCAATAAAAAATATATATATATATATTACCCACTACTTATTTTTTCCCACTGGTTTATCAAAAGCAGAAAGTTTATTAATAAGGATTATTTTTTATAAACTTTATATACACACACCACAAACTTGAGCTTTAGTTTTCAGTGGAATTATTCATGCACTGTACATAAGGGAAGAGTCTACGGTAGCAGATTTACCAGGGGGGGGGGAGTCTCCCCAATTAGCAAAAAAAAAAAAAGTGCGTCACATCTATATACAGTATGTACAGCAGAAATGTTCTAACAACACACTACAGAGGACTGACTCACTGGTCAGAGAACTCAACATCTAACAATTTGTCAAATTTGTTTTTAATTTTTCCTCGTGTCATCGTCCGACCCACTGGTCTATGTACAGTTGTAGTTTTAAAATTGTCTAAAATATATATACAGTATATACAAAATTGAAAACTAAATAATTCATAAAACATGAAAAAAGAATCAAATACAAGTTAAACACCATTGTAATTTTAATTCCATTATGATGTAATGTACCGGTAACCAAAAGATGTTATAGGTACATACGTTATCTCATACCAATCAGTGTGTAAGGAGGTGGTCACAGCATCAGGACACAGGGCATGAACCAAGGCCTCTGGTAGAGTTAATTAATCATCAAATATACTGTTGGATGGGAGAAATAGTTCCAACACAATTCATGAAGTTTTAATAATGACACTTCATCTGCGGGACACAACTTACCTGCACAGTGTGGACCATCACATCCGGAGGCACCCCGTTTCCGATGTTGACGTGATACACTTTTGTCATTGCTTCGTTCTGCTTATGATGGAACAATTAAGGGCAGGGTATAGTTAGGTCATGGCAGAAGTAAATGATTGATTGGGTGGATATTGACAACTATTGAAAACTTTTTAAAATATTTTTGGGATTATAAGTTATACAATTTAACTATGATCTAAATAGTGTGGCCTTTTTTCTTTTTTTTCTTCAAATATTCTAATGCTGATTCCAACTCCTTCTCTATCATCAACAATGGTGACCTCAAATAGTTATCTAATGTACTGTGCTGTAAGAACCTAACTGAACTACATCTTATATTTATTCTCTTTTCAATTACTGTATACGAAACATTCTAGCGTCATAGCTCCTCCAGAGTAGGAAGTTACCATTGAAGTATTAATAAAATAAAAATAAAAAATAATAGTCTAAACATAAATAATAAAAAATGTACAGTATTAATTTACATCTGACAAATCTAATAACTGAAAATATTTACATTTCAAAATTCTGAATTTATAAGAAGAATTATGGCACTCTTTAGTTTTATATTGTATTTCTCAACTTACATTGACACAAAACATAAATACATATGGTAAATACATGTGTGTGTGTGTGTGTGTGTGTGAAGGGGAGAGAACTAAAGCTCAGCAGAGAAACAGCTACACCAGTGCCACTATTACTACAGTAATACCAGCCTACTCAAGGTCTACCAGAATCATCTTACAGTCTTAACCACGTGATAATATTTATGCTCGGAACCAGGACTAATACATGCATATACCACTGGATCAGGCTGTGCAGAGTAACAAACCCTGGTAGCCCTGCCGTACCTGGACTAGGCAAGTGATTTTTCACGTCCTTATGTCCAGCACTTGCCCAGGGGACAAGCTAATATTTTGAGGTAAATACCTCGATGGGCTTCTGTCAGGTGCTACTTGACCCCACCTCCCCATACATGTTTAAGCTGGAAGATCCATTAACAAGCCACCTATCACCTATGTCAGGTGCAGGTAATTTATTTCTACCTGAAGCCATCAACCCGCCTCTAGTAAGTCGGTGTCAGGTTGACAACGTTTCAAAGCTACCACCAAGCTGAGAGCGTGTAGATGTGAGGTTACCTCACATGACAAGTGTTACCGCCACTTAGACAAAGTGCAGTTATGGTAGGTGATCAAGGAACTACCTCAATATACACCCTGCAGGTGATAAGTGAGGTGACAGGAGTTATGACATCACAAACCAAAGGTTACAACTGCTGACACCAATTAAACATACACAAGTGATGTTTGAGTTAATACACACAATAAATTTGAATGTTTTAAGATACGGTATTTATGAAAATTTTCCCATAAAATATCCAAGAAAGTAAATTCCCTCCATAAATTTGTCAGGACAAAAAAGAAAAATACCCAGGAGGTAAATTTCAAAAGTGACTTGCCCGGGACAAGTAAATGTTCCACATAATCTGCACAGCCTGCATTGGTTGAACACAAATACTGTATCACCAATACACTGTTATTTGAACTTTCTTTTTATGAAGTTTAATCATTATTGTAAATAAAAATTCCACAAAGCTGTGTTAATGCAAACTCAAATAAAGTTAAAAAGGTTAAGAATACTGTACTGATTTAAAAGCAGCTTTAACTAATTCTACTACTTCCTCACAATGTGGTAATGAAACTAATGAACAGAAGAAGTGGGGTAGTTCACAGATATAGTCATACTAATGGAAAAATGGTCATGTAAAGTATGGAGACAATGTCCTTAATACAGGGATGGCAGGGGTGGTGTGCGTGATTGGTCATGACGGCATTTCTGACAATGATAATAAGTTCTTAAGGGTCTGTGATACTATGTTCTAAGGGTCTGATGATGCATTCAACTGGTGTTAAGCCTTAACGGTGGCCATCATCCGTGGGAGTTAGCAGTAGGGATGGCAGCCTGTAGTAGTATGTTGTGGACCAAGAATACCGTAGTAGTGAAATAAGAACTGTATAATGATAGTATCAGACATAATGGTGCAACATAATTAGTAGTGACAAGAGAATAACTGTAGTGAGATATAACAGCCATAAAATGGTAGATATAGTGGAAATGATAATGATAGGCGGTATAATGGTAGAGTGTCAGAAACGTGGTACAGTAGCCACTAGAGTGTGATGGTTGCCAGGGTCACGGTACTCATTTCACAAGTACAGTACATATAATGGAAACATCAACCATGGCAGGAACAGGAGTAAGATGGTACACAAGTTTCAGTAACATGGTATGTAGTAGCAGTGTAGTATTATGACCATTATGATATTGTCATAAATAGAGTTACCAGTTTCATACATCATGGTAGTGTCATGATCACAATGGTCCTGTCAGAAATATGGTATTAATGACACACACACACACCATGGTAGTGTATGTACAGTCACAAACCAAACAAAAAAAGTCCCTTTACGCACAGAGATACTACAGATTAATATATTACACAGATAGCCAAGTAGTTCAGAGACCCACTTCTGCAGTTCGGTCTCCCGGTGTAATTGTACATGATACCAGAGACATAAACATGATGTGGTATCAATGTCACATGTTATGGAAGAGTCAAAGCTATGGTGGCCGTGTCAGATATATCCAGGAATATGAAAGCTGTGTCTGAAACAGGTAAACCGTGTCAAATATAAGATAGCAGAGTGTGAGAGAGTGACAACTTACAAGAGGAAGTACTGAAATAAAGTAAGAGAAAGGTAGAGCATTATAAGGCCAAGGGGACTAATATTCTTTTCATGGTGACAGTTAAGAATATACAGTATAAGTAGAGTTAGGGATACAGGTATTAACTGTAACATAAGATAATTGAACTCGTATAAAACGTCATGGTAATACTGTGGATAATGATATGTTTGGTTTTGCTGTTCCTTATATGATACATGAGAGGCCTGAAGTGTCATGAACTAGTACATAGTCTGAAGGAATCTTATTAACTATCAATACTTTTCTGAACTAATAGCGAAGGAGTTGGAAAGAGGCAGCAGATTATAGCACATGGTCGGCAATTTCTAAAAACTTGCACAGTACATTACAAGCTGCACCTCCCGAAGCTAATAGTACAACACTGCTATTTACTGTATGCTCTGATACTGTAAGCCTTTTATATCTCTGACCCCATCACCCTCATATTTTAAATTACCTGATAAAAATAAATAAAAAAGGGGAAGTTCCAACATCTTATCATTAGAGCAAGAATATGGAGAAACTGGATTTGGGTTCCATTACAGAGCAGCCAAGAGCACATGACAAAAGAGCATCTACAATAACAGCAACAATAGCACACCCCAATAACCAACACTAATAATAATAAATGGTAATAACAATAAATATACATGCACAAGCCGAGCAGCACTAACCTACTGTACATATTCCAGCTACTGTACAATTTTACCATCTATCTCCTGTATCTATCTATCTATCTATCTATATACTGTACTGCATATCTAACTAACTATCCATTCATCTATCTACTGTATCTGGCTGCAAGAGATACCCAGCAAGACCTCCAACGAACCTTATCCCTTTGAGTACGATACCATCCAGAATACAATAATACGATGATTTAATGCCTTGAGTACAAAATTTAATTCCTAAAATACGATATCTTAAGCCTTCGATATGATGATCTGTTCCCTTGAGTACGGTACTTTACAAAATTGTACTCAGGAGATCAAGTCATAGTACTCAAGGGGTTTTGTATATAATTTGAGTGAGTCATTAAGTTTGAGTGCCATTATAAATTGGAACCCTTTAGACCCTATTTACAAATAAGACCTAATATGAATGCCGAAATAAACTCAAAAGCTTACAGTAAGGTGCCAAAGAGTTTGATACTGTACCCATTAAAATAAGCAGCTTAGTGGACCTCTTGGTTCTAAAATAAATGGTCAATTCTAATCGATAATGAAGCTATGGATGTCAATAAGTAAAGGATCCATTAAAACTTGGCCACACAGAAAATCAATCCTTTTCAGCGAGAGTTTTAGGTACAACTTGCCGCTTGGATACAATACCTGGAGTAAATCATACAGTTCACAATATCCAAAACTTCACAAAATTCCAGTTAAAAAAATGCCAAAGTTAAACAAAATTAAAATCCCCCCCAAAAAATCCAAATTTAAATAAAAATCCCCCCCCCCCTCAATTAATCTCATTTAATAGCTGGTTTACCGTATCGTTCACGTGACTGTAAACATATCCCTTTGCAGTGTTGTTGCTTCGTATACAACTCCCCCCTCCAATGTAGGTGCTATTATCAAACACACAAGCACACACAACTTGCATCATGCACACACATAAACAGTCACGAGAGAGAGAGAGAGAGAGAGAGAGAGAGAGAGAGAGAGAGAGAGAGAGAGAGAGAGAGAGAGAGAGAGAGAGAGAGAGAGAGAGAGAGAGAGAGAGAGAGAGAGAGAGAGAGAGAGAGAGAGAGAGAGAGAGAGAGAGAGAGAGAGAGAGAGAGAGAGAGAGAGAGAGAGAGAGAGAGAGAGAGAGAGAGAGAGAGAGAGAGAGAGAGAGAGAGAGAGAGAGAGAGAGAGAGAGAGAGAGAGAGAGAGAGAGAGAGAGAGAGAGAGAGAGAGAGAGAGAGAGAGAGAGAGAGAGAGAGAGAGAGAGAGAGAGAGAGAGAGAGAGAGAGAGAGAGAGAGAGAGAGAGAGAGAGAGAGAGAGAGAGAGAGAGAGAGAGAGAGAGAGAGAGAGAGAGAGAGAGAGAGAGAGAGAGAGAGAGAGAGAGAGAGAGAGAGAGAGAGAGAGAGAGAGAGAGAGAGAGAGAGAGAGAGAGAGAGAGAGAGAGAGAGAGAGAGAGAGAGAGAGAGAGAGAGAGAGAGAGAGAGAGAGAGAGAGAGAGAGAGAGAGAGAGAGAGAGAGAGAGAGAGAGAGAGAGAGAGAGAGAGAGAGAGAGAGAGAGAGAGAGAGAGAGAGAGAGAGAGAGAGAGAGAGAGAGAGAGAGAGAGAGAGAGAGAGAGAGTCCCTTTAATCTAGATTTAGTTAAGGCTATTTAGCACACAACAACTATCTCCTCTCCTATCATAAATACCATAAGTAATAAATGTATCTGATGCTCAATTGTCCCCCCAATGGTGAAAATCTGACTTGGTAAAACATTGCTAGACAGTGCTGGGTGTTCATGGCACCTACAACAACATACAACAGAACAACACCACATTCTTCTGCTTCTCCTTAATAACAACTTGGTATCTTTTCCAATAATATTCAGTATAAACTTTAAACTTAATGGTAGCGTTGTTAACCGTATAACCCGGTATAAACTTTTGATACAATCTTTTAAATAAGTACCATATAGTGTACTGTACAGTATGTGGGTATAAGCTTCTCTTACATACAAGTAGTTATATTGTGTTCACTCCCCACCCCCAAAGCTGTAGGGTTAGATGCACCGCCAAAAAAAGAAAAGAAAAGCTTTTGATGTAATAAGTTATTGATTATAAACATACTAAAAAAGAAAAACATGTAACAATGCATACAACCTCAGCTCTTAATAGTATAGTAGTATGTATATATATATATATATATATATATATATATATATATATATATATATATATATATATATATATATATATATATATATATATATATATATATATATATATATATATAAAAAGCACAAAAGCAGTATCTACTTGCACCCTAAGCTTTTACCATTCCATTTAACCCCTCCACCAGGAAGGCTTTTTTAAAATAAGCTGCACATGTGAAACAGCAAAGCACTACAAAGTTAAATGATTCTCCACGACAGAGTTACAAGGAAGCAATGCCAAAGGAACATATAATATCTTCTCCTCTCCTCCAGTGTCCCAACCAGTGAGTTCTTCCAAGTGATGCTTTGTCACATTCAAATGATGTTTCATTTAGCATCGAATAAACAGTATATTACATATTACAATTAACAGTACTGTACAGTATTATCTTGTGACATCACTTTCAATAATACATGTACATACTGTTATAATAATAATAGTCAAACTTTCATATACCAAATAAAATTTCCTTCCTTACATATCCTTAAGACTCAGAAGAGATACTACTGTCTGAAGTACAATTTAACACATAAACACAACACACCCTCATGATCACTAAAGAATAACATGGTGCTTTCTTTACACAACCATTCAGGACATTATGAGTCGTATCTACAGCAGTATTACTATTACATCTTAACACAACATTTAAAACAATCTGTCCAATATCAATAAAACTGTTGTCATATTATGATACCAGCCACAGAAAAATTAGCTGATACCATCGATAAATGTACAGTTTCCGAGTTGTCTGTCACTTGAGTTTTTGTCACTTGAGCTTCCATAACTCGAGTTTCCGTAACTTGAGCTTCCGCAACTCAAGCTTCAGTAACTCAAGTTCCTGAAACTCAAGCTTCTGCAACTCAAGCTTCCGTAACTCAAGTTCCTGAAACTCAAGCTTCCGCAACTCGAGGAATACGAGCCTAATAATAAGTTGAAAATAAGATGCAAGTGAGAATCGACCAGAGTCCCTTACCTGCTTTTCCATTTCTGATGAAGTTGTAACAATTGTAGTTGGGGGTATCGCTAGCATGACAGTAGGCAAAGAGGGTCACTATTGCCAAGCTCACGACTATACCCCATCTCCTGGTCAACCCCATGATGGTGATTGATGGTGGTGGATGGGGTGGTAACAGTGGTGGTTGTGGTGCAACAAGTGGATGTGGAGGAGTACTTGATGGTTGTCCTCCAGTTCTAACATCCACCCTACATCCTCCTCTCCTCCTCCATCGTCACTCCTAAAAAAAAAACGGAAAAAATACTGATTAATTAACAAGGAAATATATTAGGTGCATACAGCCTGTCATAATTAAAACAAAACAAGAAGAAATTTAAACCATATACATATACAGTATATACCTGTACAGTACAGTATTTGTTAAGGGATATAAAACAATAGCCGCTAGGTTCGGTTAAAAATAACTCAATTAAAAACTGCTATAAAAAGGTGTCATTCAATTTAAACAAGACATCTAATGGTTAAAATTAAAAAAAGGAAAAAAAAAATCTATTGTAACTAAGAAATGTGAAATACCACACACGTTGCCCCATTTAATACGTACAGAACAGGTATATACAACATGTATGTATGTATGTATTTATGTAATGGTCAGCATGCTCGCCTCGCAAGCGAATGATCCCAGGTTCGATCCCCTGGCAGGGTGAAACTATGGGCAAGTTTCTTTACGCCATTTGCCTGTCTACCCAGCAGTAATTGGGAACCTGGATGTTAATCGATTTACGGATCGTGTTCCCAGGAAATAGTTAGCCAATGCAGTTGACGAGTTGTCCGGTCTTCTCGAACTATTCCTTGACACGGGATCATGCAACTTGTTAACTCAGGGGTTGGCGACAGCTTCTACACCTTCAACAAATTCAGGTCTAGGTGGCCCTTGGACTAGCCATCCTCGTTACACGAGGGACAACCATTATTATTTATTATGTATATATGTATGTATGTATGTATGTATGAAGGTGTCAATACTCTCAAGTTAGCCCGACTGCAAACCGAGGCAGACAAGCGCCAATGCCGGAAAGACGCTGCCGCCGCCCCTCCCACACTCGATGTAGCCCCCCACATGTGCAACATCTCTGCCGGTCCCGTATCGGCCTCTTTAGTCACCTCATCAATGAAGGTGACATCCTTAATAACGCATAACATTGTATCACAGCTGGATGATCGTCATACTCGATTCCAAGTGGCAGCAAAGTAGTAGTAGTACTATCTATGTAGAGCTATAGATTCTTCCAGTTTTATCAGCCACAATTATATCATCGTAATAAAATAAAAACATAAAATATATAAATAAAACCGGTATAAATCAGCTCGTTAACATTCTGGACAATCAGCGTGAGGAAGAACAACATTTCAAAGTAAGCCAGTGCGGGAAAAACTCGAACTCTCAAGCTAAATTAGTACGAAATAATATACCATACGCTTTCTTTTATATAATTATCTTTGAATCTTTATTAAACTCTGACCTTTGTTTTGCATATCTGAGGCAGAGATTGCTATTTCCTGTTAGGATTTTACGTGAAGTTGGAAGATAGGTAATAGGAGCATATAATTATATTTTCGTGTACAAATTTATAACATTATTTACTAAACTTTCATCAAATTTCCTGGCATATTATTTACTAATGCAGTACACGCAAGATATTCAATACACATTTAACCACAAGGAAATAAATTAAAACTAGAATTTGCAAAAATATAAACAAATTGCGGAGTCATAAATATAATCACAATTCCTGCAGGGTAGAAATATTCACCAATACAACTCTAACCATTCAATACTCACATAGCCACTAAGACATAAATCAAAACTAAAATGAACAGATAATTTTCTAGTTAAGTCGTAAATAAAAATGAAAAGTTACATGATTTATACACTGAGAAATTCAATACTTAACCACAAAGAATGAATTCAAAACTACAATGAACTGACTTATAAAAAAGTGAAGGAGTGCGTAACTGCCCCCTTTCCCCCTAACTACCCCCTTTAACTACCCCCTCACCCCCATAACTATCCCCTTACCCCCATAACTACCCCTTCACCCTCCTTTAATTACCCCGTCACCCCCTTTAACTATCCCCTTACCCCCATAACTACCCCTTCACCCTCCTTTAACTACCCCTTCACCCCCATAACTACCCCACTCACCCCCCTAACTACCCCATTCACCCCCGGCCTGGCAGCACGTAGTTTCCTATGACGCAAGACAACTAACTTGACTCTCCATCCTGCGTTGGGACACACTCTGGTTTGCTATCATACTGGCTAACTGTCTGACTGGCTTGCGAGCTGACTGACTTTCTGACTGACTTGCGAGCTACTGTTTGACTGGCTTCTAATCATGTTGGTTGTCTGACTGGATTGCTAACTGACCCAAATGAATTCGTATATTACTGGCTAAGTAACTGAATGGCTTGCTAGCTGACTGGTTAAATGTCTGACTGGTTAAGTGAGTGGCGGGTTGCCAAATACACTCACTACATGACGATCTTTACAAGTTTATCCAAATTAAGTTATATTAATAAAGATAAAAGTATATCGTGTTAATATTAAGTTAAAATTATGTATATATATATATATATATATATATATATATATATATATATATATATATATATATATATATATATATATATATATATATATATATATATCGGCACATAAGCTGAGAAATGACATAAATACTGTACAATGTCGGAAAGTAATATAATAAAAATGTTTTTAAAGGAATAAAATTACAGATAGGATTTTAATCTAACATATAAGTATATAACGCACACATAGTAATTGCACATACATTATCGTCACACACTGTACATACACACACATAATTGTATACACAAAGAGAGAGAGAGAGAGAGAGAGAGAGAGAGATTTCATCAACCCATACACACACATGCAGATACCATCATAAGACACAGGCGTACACAGAGATACTAAGATGGCCAAGTCCTCATATAAACCGGTTCCACTCCACCTGTGGCTCGCCTCTAGTGTTGCCAGAACCATCACCACCACCAGGCTAATGTTAACTCACTAAATTATGAGTTCTACCCAGTGGGAGTCTTGCTTCATTGAGGGTGGATCTCTTCTTTTTCTCTACTAAATAATGACTTTTAATTCTATATTATAGTTTGATAGGTTGAAGAGCATTAGAGTTGTGACAGTTTTAACACAACACAAAGCCATCAACTACATGAAGACGACCCCGAGACAGTCACAACGGGAGGAGCAGCTGCCATCACTCTCCAGCTGAACATAATAATAATAAATAAACATGATCTTTCGTCCCTTACAGTGGGTAATCCCTCGTTCATATCTCTTTAATGACGGGTGTTTGTTGTAGCTGTGGACTGTGACGTCATACATGGTCCAGTTCGCAAAGATGCTGAACTGCAGTGCCTCACAAACTTGGCTTCTTGTAATTCTGCGAACCTCCTGAGCATTTCCTTGGAAATCATCGATCCTATGAGTTGCCAGTTTCGGATTAGGGGTAAATACCTTGGTTATAGTCAAAGTGAGGATTATGTGTGTTATATGAGAGCAAAAGGACTCGATTTATCTCAATAAATCCTCATGGCAGCTCTCTTGGGAGGAGGCACTATTAGGTTTACATCTCAAGAGTTATTTTAAGACATTGTGGTATCTGGCAACAGCTTCGTGACGCACGCACATGGCTGTCGCCTCAGCTGTTCTAATATTAATCCTCTTTAAGTACATAACTTTACTAAAAGCATAAAATGACTTAAAATTGTGAAAGAAATATTATTAAATAGAATATAACAAACATAAACATAGAGCCAAGCATTAAGTAAACGCCAGAAGCCGTGATCAACTGGGGGTAATATAAGACTACTGGCACCATCATTCCCAGTATTCCCGGCCGTGTGGTGTTTTACGTTCTGTCTCATTTCACATCGTATGACCAACAACACTCTTCCCAGCCCAAACTGCCATGGTAGGATGTTTTTTAAGTGTATATCCAAGCTCTATAAATAACAGATAATAATACAAAGAATAATTTATCTTAAACAATGATTCTCTATAAATTAAAAAAAAATAAAAAGGTTAAATTCGCGCCTTGTATCGTTGCGTTTTCACCCACTCATTTTTTCCCACAGTAAGTTTGGCTACCTTGTCTTAGCAGCCATTTTACTGACTTTTGACTACATAAATATTCTAACCTGGGATAAGAATATTTTATAAGACTTATGAACGACAAATTTATATTTAATATAAACTTCCTGGTATATAATTATGATTTATAAGCCTAAATAACTGAACAAAATGACAACTAATGATGATTTTTACTCTTGGGAAGAGCTTACAGTAAGTGATGATTCCCTTGTTAACACATAAAATATATCACGATTATTGCTATTATTATCATTATTCAAATGTCCTTTAAAAAAAAGCGTCGTCTCCTTGACAAACCTTCCGAGTATACGTCAATAATCGTTCGAATGACCCCAAAAAATAAGACCTAATACATAATACGAATTTACGAGTTAAAAATATTATACCTAAAAATACCAATTAAAAATCAAAATCAAAATGAATGCTTATAAATAACTACCAGAATTTTATTGCAGCTCCAAGTGACGACAATTCCGAGAAGAGTGAAGTCATGCACCTGGGGATTCGGACGTTACTATCGCTTCATCCGGGCGTCGCGAGTCAAGGCTCTCCTCTACCTCCACTTGACTGACTAAATTTCGTAGGATCGATGGTCGTCCCTCGTCACCCAGCATTTTTCTTGCAAAAAAACCAGTCTGGTATATATTTTTCCCCCACCGGAGACATTTTTATAAAGTGTTTTCTATTTTAAACATCCGGGAACATTTAAAACGGGATCGGTCTAGTATGGAGATGAGAGATACGGTACCAAATAATAAAATCTTCACGCCGTCACTACAAAAAAAAAACAATCTCGAGCCTCCTTTGTGAAATATATTATATAACAGAGTATATCCTCATACTCTATATCCACCACTAATGTGGGATCACCTGAAGATTAGCCCCTAGTTTTTTCTCCTGGGAGTTAGGTTAAGCGAGGTTAGTTTAAGTTAAATTAGTTGACTGGGTTAGGTTTGAGTTAGTTAGGTCAGGGTTGAGTTGGGTTAGCTTTAGATAAGGTTAATTAGGATTGGTTAGGTTAGCGTCAATTAGCGTAAATCTTAAGATGAAATAAACTTTTTTTTCTTTTGGGGGGGGGGGGGTCA